TTTAGAAGTCCGGTCAAACTCGTCCGGATTAGAAGTCCGGTCAAAACACTTTGAAAATAAACCAACTCCCTTGTCCGGATTACAAGTCCGGACAATACTTCTATTATAACGTTGTCCGGTTTAGAATAAACCGGACGATACACCGTTCACCCTTTGTCCGGTTTAGAGTATACCGGATAATACATCACTTAACCTTTTGACCGGTTTAGAGTATACCGGTCACCCCTTAGCCGGTTTATAGACTTAAACCTTTTTACACAAGCGGTTTAGAAATAAATCGATCACCACATGGCCGGTTTAGATGATATCCGGTCACCTCTTGGCCGGTTTAAATGATACACCGGTCACCTCTTGGCCGGTTTAGTTATACACCGGTCACCTCTTGGCCGGTTTAGTTATCCGGATTACAATCCGGACAACACTTGTACGGTTTAATCAAGAACTTTTATAAAAATGCTATAGAATTCAATATAACCAGTTCCAAATGCTTATCATTTTGTATATAAGCAATTCATATCCAAAGCTCTAAAACACTCACCTTTTAGAAGTTGTGAATCAAAACCTTTTGAGACCTTCTTCTTCTTGTGCAATCCTCAAATCTTCAGAGAGATTTTCTAAATGTAGAAAGTGTATGTGTGTGTGCCTTTTCCTTCACAAAAACTATATATATTCAAAACATAAAAGAGGAGGGGTGGTAGGCGGCTCCTCTAGCCGACCTCCCCTCTTTTATATTTAAATAAATTTTTTAAATAAAATACCTCATACACACATACAAATCATATATATATTATACACACACACACACACACACATATATATATATATATATATAAACCTGAAATAATAACCAGAATATTACAGGAGATGAAGGAGGCGAAGCAACGGGAGGATCGCTAGGCCAAATGGAAGGGGGGGGGGGGTTACATCTGTAAGTCCGACAAAACATCTATGTTGATGGACACACTTTCCTCCTCCCCTCCCCCTAGTTAGATTGTTACGTACCCTTGGGACATTAAATTATGTGAATTTGGTATTTTGAGTTGTATAAATGGGTTAATTTTAATTGGAAGGTAGTTTTGGTTTGGTAATCTGAATTTATGGACATGTTTTGTATTAAAATATACAAGAACTAAATTATTTTGATTTAATTTTTTTAAAAGTTGGTAGGGTCGTCGATATCCGTCGTTGATCCTAACCATCACTAATTTGTTGTTGATGGTATCACCCATCACAATTTGTCCGACGAGCAATTGAGCATTTGTGACGGGTTATCAACGGCCTGGTCCGTTGTTGATAGGGTCCGATTTTGTAGTGAATGGAATCGATGTAGCCATTTAGGTTTCCTGATTGACACGCATGAGCGAGTGGAGAGATGTGATTTATAGTATCAACAGAAATAGGTGAAGATTGGGTTAGATTAACTGGATTTTTGGGAGCGATTGAGATTAAAGGGAGATGGATGAGGATAAGAGGTAAATAAAGAGGGAGTTTATCTCTTATTATTTTGGAGGACAATACGAGCTTACAAGTTCATTTGAGAAAGAAAAAACAAACGATCTGAAATAGCCGATCTCTTATTTGCTAAATGATAAGAGCCAATTAAGAGGCTTTCTTCTTAAAAAAAACAAGGTTTAAATTAATACTTATAGTTTAAATTTGTTATAATAATTTTAGTGTGTGTAATAAGTAAACAATGAAGAAAAAATGACACCGATGCAATAGAAAAAAAGTAGAATAACAAGGTTCTTGTTCAAAAAATTTATTGAGATTTATGTTTTATTAATGTAACTAAATGTCGAGGAAGAAAAGTAGAATATGGTTCTTATTAGGGGTCGTGATGAGTTGGATTAATCGGGTTGAAGACATTTGAACAAGCCAATTCAATGCTTACGGTTTGAAAATTCTTAATCCAACCCAACCTAAACTAAAGTGCAACCCAATCCAAACCGTACAGGTTGATCGGGTTAGTCGGTTGATACTTTGGTACATTAAAATATTCTTCTAACCTTGGATATGTTATTTTTCTACTCATAATTTTTTTCCATCATCAACCCTTTGATACAACTTATCTATACTTTTTACGTATATAACATTATTCAATTAATTTTTTCAATTTACATTTATATGTTCACAGTTACTGAACATACATATGAATGAGTTATATAGATATGGAAAATAGATTGAAAATATGTATATATGAAGAGCGTACGTGTTAGTGTAATTGTCTAATGTATATATTAATATAAACTCAACAATCATATTATTTCGCGTTGGGTTAGATTAAGTTGATCGGGTTGGACGGATTTTTAAACACAATCTAGTTCTTTACAAGATGCTAACCCACTTTCTCAAGTCATCATTGCATCTGTATTTATTCGTAACATATACACACATTATTAGATAGAAAACATGAAAAATTCATTAGTTAGTGGAGAAGCATATTGATCACCTCGCTCATTGAGGGTCTTGTCTCCTTATCTTCCTTGACACAGTGCAATGCAATTCTAACCAGTTTTTCCATGGTGATCTGATGATATTTTCCGCTTATTGATGGATCTACAATTTTCTCAACCCAAGATTCCTTTCGATCATCAGAGTCTTGAATATTTTCTATCACCCAGTCGATTAACGGAAGCTCGGTATTGCCATGTTTATTACTTGTATAATGTTTGCCTGCTGGATTCCGTCCCGTTATCATCTCCAATATTACCACTCCATAGCTAAATACATCGACTTTTGAGGTAATTGGAAGATTGAGAACCCACTCGGGAGCCATGTAGCCTCGAGTCCCTCGCATCATGGAGAATTTCAACTCCTCAATGCCACATCTGTCAAGAAGTTTGGACAGACCAAAATCTGCCACCTTAGGTTTGTAATTAGAATCCAACAGTATGTTATGGGGTTTCACATCACAATGTAGAACCCACTCCAAGCACTCTTCATGTAAATAAGCTAGTCCCTTGGCAGTACCTGTAGCAATTTCCAATCTTGTGGCCCAATCAAGTGTACCTAGTTCCAAGTTTTCAGCCAATGATCCATTCTCCATATACTCATAAACCACAAGCCTATGCTTTCCTTCTGCACAATAACCCCATGTCTCTATCAAATTCATGTGATTCAGCCTCCCAATTGTGTTTATCTCGCCTTGAAACTCAGCTTCCCCTTGGTGAGTAGTGTTTTGGAGCCTCTTGATTGCTGCAATTCTGTTGTCTGATAACCTTCCTTTGTACACAATGCAAGCACCACCTCTCCCAATCTCTTCACTGAAATTGCGTGACGCCTTCTTCAGCTCACTGTATGTGAACTTTCGAAATGTTGTTGCAGATAGAAAATTTGTTTCTTTGGTTGTTGATGAGTTTTCACGACTAAGATACCAACAAATTAATATGCAGATGATCTCAATAATCCCAATCACGCATCCGAAAACTAACAACAATCCAAGTGATTTGTTGTCGTATTCTTTCTCGTAAGACCTTATTATGGGCATTCGCACAGGGTCTGGACAATTAAAGCTTGCTTGGCTTATGGTTTTCTGATGAAATGATGATACTAATTTCTTTGGAAGTTTCATATACATGGAAAATTTGAAGTCCATTTGATACCCGTTGTGCAAAGAACTCTTTGTGAAGCAAAAAAATGATCTTTTATCACCTCTCCATCCGAATTGGAACCCCCTACAAGCGTTATTTTGTAGGCAATCCGTCTTGCATGCATCAAAAGAGTGGTATTCGTTCATTTGCATATCATATGAAAAGAATTCAGCGTGGGGAATCTCAATGAAATCACATTCATCTTGCACGCATGGTCGGAATTCAGGTTCACACCCATAACTCCAATCTTCAGGCTTCACCATCTTGTACCCATGTAAGCATGTGCATTTCCTACCTGAATCTTGAGAATAGGTACAAAGACTGTTTGGTCCACAAACACCATGAATCTTGCAAGGGTGAGAAAATGCCTGCCATTGAACTTCCCATTTCATTATGCTTCCATGCTCAACCATACTATAGACTCTTACATTACCGTCTGTGTCGATCTTCATCATTCTTTGTGGACCCATCCCAAAATCAGCCGATTTCAAACTGAAACCATCTGATGAGTTGAACTGACCATCAGAATCAAGGCTTGCTCTTGCAGTATACTGATAATTGAATCTCCCAGCATTCCAGTCTTTTGAAACGGGATTAGGCCAGTAAATAGTTCTTGTTCCTAGACCACTGTAAAGAAGTCGAAGAATGTTCTCACTATCGAAAAAGAACTTATAGGAACCCAACGAGTGATTAGTAGAACTTCTTGAAGAAACAAGTTGAGTGTTTTCAGTAAAGGGTTGATTGGGAAGAAGGGTATCAGTCGGATAATCAAAGCTTTGCCAAACAGGCTGTTCTCCACTACAGAGTACAAGATTACCTGTGCCAAGGAGTTTCAATTCAACTGAGGAAGAGGTTGACYTTGTATTGGTCGACCAAATAACGTATTGACCGGCATCTATCAGAACTAGATCGCCATCTTCCTGAAGGGACAACTTTGAATGCTTTCCGTTTACTAGGGCATCTCGGTTAGCCATCCAAACCACGGTGCGGTTCTGGGATGTGGCTTGCTTTCTGAACCACACTGCAAAGCCATAAGCATTTTCTCCAACACCATAAAAACCAGCCGCGAATAGACCATTCAGCGAAACCAAAAGGTCATCTTTATTATTAACAGATAGAGATGAGCCTCGAGTTAAGCTATGGCTTAGGGAAGAAGAAGATGATGGTATGATTATGGCAAGAAGAAGAACATGAAAGAGTGCAGCCATGCTTAATTAGATATGGGCAAGCTCGAGTTACAATTTGGAAGGTGAATGAGGAGAAGCGTGAAGTGCTGCCATTTAAACTAATTTATGGTCATTACAAAAATGTAAAAGTAAATGACTTCAATATCATTTCTTTTACAAGTCTTTTTTTTTTCTTTCTTTTGTTTGTACTTTTATAAAAAAATGAAAAGCAAGAGTCCTTTTGGTTCAAAAGAAATATTTGATTTATGATATAATTAATTGAATAAAAATATTAAATTAATATTTAAAATTAATTTTGACTGAAATAAAATAAAAAATACTTAAATGTCTGTCAATATTATTACTATATTGTAAAAGCTAATAATAGTTAAATGAAAACTTGTGATGTATATAATAGTTAAATCTAAAGTTTTTAAAAGTAATGTTTAACAAAGAATGTTTATATATATGGTTTTATTTTTATAACCGATAAAGTTCATCCAATTAACACTATCAATTAGAGTACCTTTACTTTTATTTTTGGGGTGTTTGAGATTGTTTATTTGAAACAACTTATATTTTTTTATAAAAAACATTTATCAACTTATTATAAGTCAGAAGGCTTTAACTTCTTTAAAAACTCCTTATTACCGGTTTGGCACCGGTATAAGTTGTTTATCAAAACAATCAAAAGTGCTTATTATCCGTGTCACACCGAAATAAGTCAATAAGTTGTTTTTATAAGCAATCCCGAACACCTCCTAATATTCCATTCTGTGGGAAATATGAGATTGTTGAAGTAGTTATATAACCAAATCATAAATAGTAAACAGTTTCACGAAAGTATGGTTTTTGAAGCTTAGATTTTACTATGAAACAATTTACGTTTTCGGAATCTTAATTCCATGCATGAAACCATTTAGCTCGAATAAATTATAATTTTTATACGTACATGCTTTGCTTTATTTAGTTGAAAATTTAAAAGTTTTAAAATTAAATACCAGATAATATACTAGATAATAAGATATAAAATATAAGTTTAACTAATTTATAATAAATGATAAATTAATAAGTGCATGTGAAATACATCACAATGCTATATTTTAACATTTATAGGTTTAAAGTTATTAATGTTATTACGGTGAATAGTGAAAATTTGCATGCTAATTTAATACTGGTGTTATATATCTTTAGCATTTTCGTATAGAGATGGTTTAATCTACTTTTGTTTTAAAAACAAATTTTTAATAAAATTTGAAATTTTAATTTAGCAATATATCTTTCAAATCATAATAAATTAAGTTAATCATATTTATTTGATCAAATGCATTTAATAACTAATAAATTGTTCACATATTTTCAACTTATGTTATCTTTTCATTTTAAATCTTCTAATTAGAAAACACTAGAAATAGTTTGATCTGAGTTTTAAATGTAATTCTCTTAATTGCAATTTAAAGTTACGAATATTAATTTTCCTTGAATCAGTAACCTACTGTTGTTGTTGTTGTTGTTGTTGTTGTTGTTGTTGTTGTTGTTGTTGTTGTTGTTGTTGTTGTTGTTGTTGCTGCTGCTGCTATTGCTATTGTGGTTATTGTTGCTGCTGCTGTCATCGTCCTTGGTGTTGGTGTTGTTGTTGTGGTTGTGGTTGTTGCTGCTCTTGTTGTTGTTGTGGTTGTTGTTGTGGTTGTTGTTGCTGCTGTCATTGTCGTTGGTGTTGTTGTGGTTGTTGTTGTTGGTGGTGGTGGTGGTGGTGGTGGAAAGGTGTTCAAACCTTTCCACAATTGACTCCTCGACTCTTTTTAAGAAACTTGGCATGGAAGTTGTATGCATCATTTTATTTTGTTAGAGAGAAGAAATATTCAGTAGCTAGAGTTGTAGTTTAATTTTCAGTAAGTAGTTTTACGTTCAATAACTTTTATTTTCAGTATTGCAACCGGTGCTTTCGAGATCGGGCATTGAGATTTCTTATTTAAGTTAATCTTTTTGTATGTTCTCTTACAATCTTTTATTTTATGTTTTTCTTCTCCTTCTCAAGTATGAACTAAACATCTTTTGAGATGTAGGAGTGAAAAACACTCAGATTTTATGCGAAATGCTTTAGTAATTTTAAATGTCGAATTTTTATAGTGTTGGTCACCTTTTGTTCAATATTGCCCAATGATGCGGACAAGCTGATCTCTTGAAAGTATCTAACGTCTAGTTCTCTACCCATAGATGGGTATAATGTAATGACACAAGCTTGGGTGATGCTATAGGATTCGAGAGAATTCTTATAACACCAACAAGAGTTGGGTTCGCATAGTTGGACGAACTCCAAATCACTGGAGTGGTAGGCAAGCTAATTTGTGTATTTGAAACACTTAAAGTATTTGTCTCTATAGGTACACCGAAGGTCATCACTAACAAAACAGTAAAGTTAAGCATATGAGATTTTGACTAAGAGGTGTGAGTATTTGTTGTGACATCGCCTATCGAAAAAAATGCCCACTCCATATAGTTCAGTAAACACAATTCTTGATCAAGTACTCTACATGACATTTGAGGAAATTTCATACCTACATCTCATTCATTAAATCATAAGTATTTTTTAGAAGTTGTTTCACCAAACCAACCAACTTATTTGCTTCATCCCTAATTAAAACTTTAAAAAAGGAAGTTCATGAGAACAATATTTTCTTGATTGTCCCGTCATTGTGGATACGATTATGGTTCTTACTAAACTTTTTTACTTGAAGTGACAATCACAGTGACCAATGTACACTTGCGTTGTCCACTGTGTACTGTTTGCTAACCCACTACGGTTACACTTGTTTCACACGTAGCAATATCATACTTATTCCCGAATATATACAAATTTGTTGTATACACGTGAACATATATATATGTATATATATATATATGATGAATGTTATATTGAAAACGTATATTCATGATAAATATTGTATTGAAGTATGAATATTGAAGATTAGTTTTATATAGGTGAACGTACATGAATATTCGTAATGAATGTTATAGTAGAAATGKATATTAATAATGAATGTCATAGTGATGTATRTATACTGAAGATTTGTTGAATACACGTGAAAATACATAACTATTCATGATAAATATCATACTGATGTATGAATATTAAAGAGTTGTTATATGAATTAGAACGTTCATAAGTATTCATGATGAATATTACAAAGATGTATTATTTCACATAAAACGGTTAAAAAACTACAACGATATGTATGTCAATTTTAAAATAATGAAAATACTATTTTTTTTTTTTGATAAAATTTGTTTGATTAAAATATTAGTTAGTTTTAAGATAATTTAGGATTTTAGTCTAGAAATTAAAAAGGTAAAAGTTTTTTAATTAAAAAATAAAATAACAAGTCAAATAAGGCAGGGTGATTAAAGTTCGAAGGTAATTCCATTTTTACCCCTGGCCACTTCTTAATTAAGCACTTTATGTTTTAACTATTTATTAATTTGTTTAATTTTGATCAATGGTTAAAATTTGTCCATTAATTTACAATAAAAGACCAGTTCTTATTTGAATTTAATCCGATACATATAATAGTTTGATTAATTGTATTTTCACTCGATAAAAAACTAGTTTTTATTCCATTTATGTGTTAAAATGATGTTATCCTTCACAAAAATAAAACATTGTTTATAACATATTTTACATCAAAACAATATAATAAATAAAATGTTAAATTGATATTTAATTTAATTTATTTTTCATCTGTTAAAAAATACTAGAAGGATACTCGCAGAATACAGTTAGATATATCTCGATTTCAATGTTTCATTTTATTATTTTGGTCTCTCTCGATGTTATAATACGAATTTATGTCACTACAACAAAAAGAGGTTTATAGGTTACTTTTTTGGGACACTTTTCGGAAACCGTCCTATAAAAAGGCTAATACGACACATTAGTTTATGAGTCCTATTTGATTTAATCTTATATGACTCTTAATTTTGATGTCTTATTAACATRTCTTGAYGTMCTATCATGTAATCTAATACGACACTTTTGAATGTCATATTATTTTATGGTCTAATAGGACACTTTTAAGTGTCGTATTATTTTAAAGACTAATAGGACATTTTAAAGTGTCATTATTTTAGAAATTAATAGGACATTTTTAAGTGTCATATTAATTTTAAAAGTTAATAAGACATTTTTTATTGTTGTATTAGTGTTTAAAAGCTAATAGGACGCTTAAAAGTGTCCTATTAGAGTTTAAAATGATATAAATAACATATTGTATTTAGAATCATTTTTAACTAGGCCCAAATGTCAAAAACTATATGATGATTTAAATCAGCCCATTTTATTAACCTAACTTAGCCCATTTTATTAAACCCATTTCCCCTTCACGGCTTCACAACTCCCGTCTCTCCTGGACGAAGGACGAACTACGATCGCTGTATCCCTGTACCTACGAACTACGAAGCTACGATCGACTCTTCCCTCTCCCTCACTATTTGTGATTGATCGATCGACGACGAACAACATCACTGTTTACGATCGATCGACGACGACGAACAACAGACGACGAACCTTCTGCTTAGGTAACATTTTCATTTTCATTGACTACAATAGATGAATTCAAACCTTCTGCTCCTGAGTTGTATGTGCTCCTGAGTGAAGAAATGGAACACAACTACATGCTTATACATATTGGAAATTGAAATTGAAATACATATTGGGAAATTATATGCACAAATACGTTGTATCCCCTGTACCTACTTTCTCATTGTTGCTTCAGTTGATAGTCAATTGGACGTTTTTTAGGATGTTGAAGAAGGTGCTATATGAGTTTCTACTACTTAGAATGCTTTAGCACAAAGTGTCATCCACCTTGCACTAGTGACTAATGATTAATGAACTCTGCAAGTTGGAACTAGGCTTTGATATCCATGTGAAACCTATGGGCTTCCATCTAATAACCAATCTTCTATGAGTAAATATACACTGATGGAACTGTTATGCACCTAATTTTGGGATAATAGTTTTTGTTATCATTTTTGATTTCTAT